GAGATCAGCCCCACCTTCCGCAAGAGGTGATGGTTGCACAACTTCAAACACTTTTTTCTTCGTTCTCTTGGGCTTATATTAAAATGGACAGCGATACGCATGGTAACGGTGTGACGGGAAATACTTGAGTTATTGTTAAGAATATATGTAAAATTCATTTATTTGTTTTTTTTTTCTTTAGAGTTTTTTATTTGTTTTACGTTAGAACTGGTTCTATTTTATTCTTCCTTCGGGTGATTAATTGTGAGATCAAAATTTATTTATTTGTAAGAATGTGAAGTAACTTCTAGGTAAATCGACTACCTTTCAAGTATTATTGCGATATTTTTGCAACAAAATATATACGGTTATGATTTATTTTTTCGTGATCAAGTACTCTTTTGTTTTGAAACTTTAATGCTAAATTTGATGAGTTTTGGTTGTAGGCAATTCGTTTAAGTTATTGTGGATTAATTAGTTTAATTTTTGAAAAAAAAAAAAAAAAAAAAGTCAGATGTAATTCGTAGTTCCTGTTAAAGGATCAATATAATATTATGTATGTCCACCACTATTATCACCATTACACATCAAAATACCTATTGATGACCCCATTAAAGTCTTGTATCCATGACCTTTCAGAGATCTTTCTAATCCTATCTATGGACCAGTATGTAATAAATGTGTTTTGTACACTTGAAGATATGGAATAAGACATTATCTATTCTCCCTACTTTATTCTCTATTTATTATATATTATTACCTATTTTTATAATACATTTATCAGCACGAGTTTGCTCTACTTTCTTTTCTAGCTAATAGAATTTCAAATATGGATATTAACTATGACGATGATTCAAAAGTGGACGATACTTCAGCCCAAAATGAGGAAACGGAAGATAACTCGTTGTATATTATTGTAGTTTTGAGTTGACAAAAAATCAACAATCTTATTTTTGTTGTAGGTATGTTCTCGTGCAATTCACAAGGTCAGGCTTTGAGTTGTCTTTTGAATCTCATATAGTCATAATTTGAGAAAACGTAAAACACCAAATTTGTAAGACTTTATGTTGTGTGTTCAAAACATCTTGAATCGCTGAAATCCTATCTCTGGAGAGAGATATACGCGAAACATTATGAGTAAGAGTATCAGTATCAGTATTAGTAGTATAGTATTAGTATTAGTCATGACATATGTCTGAATAATTGTTTTCATTAAGTCGGAATCAAGCGATATGATTAATGTTACGTGCAATATTGTCTAAGGAAGTTTTTCAGCAATTATGAATGTACATCACAATAATAATATATTATAACTCAATAACCCATTTGTTTTTTGTATTGTTTATATGTATGGTTATTTAACATTGCTAGAATTAGCTGCACTTTATGTTAATCTTATGGGCGACTCCAACGGAGATTTTGTTTATCAAGATAACATAATATAAATATGCAGATTACTCGCAACTTCGCAAGGTATTAGATGAGTTATAGGCGATGTCAATGCATGCGCTACAAAACATCACTTTGATAAATAAGTTTTATGTTGACGATCTGAAATCATTGGACAAGATAGTTGTACCATTTTAGTCACATTATATCTTATTTTGCCTATCATATTTTTTGTATTTTACATTTTCTTTTATTGTTTCTTTTATTTTATTCGACACTTAATTAAAAGGAATGCATATTACTTGTTAAGTTTTTGGATTATATTCCATCATTTATAGTGTATCCAAAGTTTCCATTCGATTATTTTATCTAAAATCTACTTTTATTATTTTAAATCGCACATGTAAAATAGTTGTCAATTTGAGCATTATATTTATAATATATGCTGGAGCATGTAGTAATAATCAGGAATAGTTAATTGCATAATTATTCGTTAATTGCATAATTGAGGGTTGATTCGGTGAACAATACATAGAGGAGATATAACATCATGGAAAAATTGGACAAACATACACATCGTGTCATTACAATGAGCCCAACTTTATTTCTCATTTTTAGGACAAAACAGATTTTATTAATTAAAAATAATTAATTATCACTGTTATACCCCTAACTAAGAAACAACCCTATTTTACCTTTTAGATATATGTGTAATCCTATCCATCGTTTGATTTTCTTATCTCATCTCTCTTTTCACGTTTCTCATCTTCTTTCTTGAGAATTCTCCTTCTCTAATCTCTGTCATTCAAACCGCCACCATCCACAACTTTTCCTCTGCACCACCGGCGGTCCTCTTTCTATCTCTCCAACGCCAGATGCCCCGCCCTCAAGCGGCGGTCCAGCATCCCATCACGGTGGAGGCCTTGCATCGGAAATAATTGAAGCGGGTGAAGGAAAATTCATGGTTGGTGGTGGTGCGGATGACAGGTTTCTCGATTTTGGAGTTCTCGACAATGCGACATGGGAGATTGACCTGCCAAATGTTGATTCTCTCGGCCATCTTCCAACTGCCTCAGCCTGCATCTTTTTTTTCTCCCCTTAAACGTTTGGTTTGTTTATTTTATATAAACAAACACAAAGGCATATAGTGATTTTTGATAAGTTTATAGTAGATTTTCGTAATGGAATTCGTTAATTACATAGTGGTTTTCATTAATTACAGAGTAGTTTTTGTTAATTGATAATTTTTTAGTGAATTTTTGTAATGAAATTTGTTAATTACATAGTGGTTTTCGTTGTTTATAGAGTGGTTTTCATTAACTACATAGTGGTTTTTGTTAATTGCTAACTTTTTAATGAACTTTTGTAATGGAATTTGTTAATTATATAGTGATTTTCGTTAATTACAGTGTGGTTTTTATTAATTACATGGTGGTTTTTGTTAATTACATAGTGATTTCGATAAGTTTATAATGGATTTTCGTAACGGAATACTATAATCACATATTGGTTTTTAATAAGTTTATAGTGGATTTCAATTTGTTAAAAACTAGTTCTTTCTTTTTTAATTTAACTTTAAAAACAAAAGTATAAAAAATAAAAAATCGAAATTAAAAAAATGAAAAATAAACTTTTTTAAAAACAAAGTTAAACTTTTCTTATGAAAAAATCGAAAAATTGTAATAAAATAAATGCATTTTTTTGTTTTAGGATTGAAATTTAAAAGTAATATTTTTTTTTCTGGAAAGAAAAAAGAATAAAAAAAAATTGAAACGATGCGAGATTTATGAGGAGTTATTTTGGAGAGAGGGTATGATAGGAGCATTTTGAGTAATTTGAGTCAAATGGACTTATGTCAAATACCAATTCACAAAATGAATTTATCGTGAAGTCAAAATTCAATAGGGGGTTTTAGTCAAATAGCCCCTTTTAAATATTTAGATATAATCAAGGGGTAATATGCTATGAGCCCCTCAAACAAAATCTAATTTGAACAAAATGACAAGTTCAAATTCATTTTTTTAAATAAATCCTTACCTTGAAATAATATATGAGCCACATCCCTAATTTTTTTTTATCCCTATCTTGCCCTTATACCCTAAATTATATAACCTACACATTCACGTATCTTCCAATTCATATTTATGTCGTTCTTTTGGTATTCTCACACGATCTTTCTCATTATCTCCATCTCTCTCACACGTTCTATGTATCACTTTTTTACTCTCCTTTTTTTTCTCTCTCTCACCTCTCTATCTCTATATCTCTTTATTGTCAATTTATTCAGTAGTAGACGGTGGCGGTGGGGGCTGTGGTGGTTGAGGCGGCGGCGACTGGCTGTGGTGGTTAAGGAGGCGGCAGGGCTGTGGTTGAGACAACAGGGCCGCCGGGTTTGTGGTGGACGGTGGAGGTGGAGGCTGCGGCGGTTGAGGCGGCCGCAGGGCTGTGGTTGTGCGGGGCCGCAGGGGTTGTGGTGCGGCGGCGGTGGGGGCTGTGGTGGTTGAGGCGACGGCGCCGGGCTGTGGTGGTTAATGCGGCGGCAAGGCATTGTGGTGGTCGAAACGGCGGCGAGGGGCTGTGGTACGTGGTCGAGGCGGTGTTTGGGGGCTGTGGTGGTCGGCGGTGTTGGGGGGCTGTGGTGGTCGGCGGTTTAGGGGGGCTGTGGTGGTTGGCGACGGGGATGTGGTTATGGTGGAGATTTGATTGAAATTATATTTCTTTACAAATTGCATTTGATTTTCTTGATCTTCAAGAGATTTTGATTTTGCTTGATTTGAATTCAAAATCGTAAATCTAGGTTTTTCCAAAGTTGGTAGGTGTCTACGGTTGCGACGGCTGCGAATGTTGGCTCCTAGGGTTTGACGGTTATTGTGTTTACGACTAGGATTGGCGTGATTGGGTGTTGTTGGCTGCTAAGGTTTGGTAGTACACCGTAGTAGACCATAGTGCACTGTAGTATACCATAGTTATACTACAGTATTGACAACAAATAAATTAAAAAAAAATATTAAAATATATGTAGCTTGAATTAACAAAAACGAAAAATAATTTTTTTTTTTTGTAATTTTCAATATTATGTAGGATTTGTTTTTTAATAATAGTGTAAAAACTATAGTACACCATAGTATTTTTAAAATCTGCTGAATTATTCAACAATTTTTTTCCCGTAATTTCCAATAAAATACAAAAAATAAGGAAAAAAACTGTTTATAATAATGTAGAAAATGTTAGAGTGAAAATTGAAAAAATAAAAATGGGTGGACGGGCATTTTCGGAATGAATTTTATAAAGGATGTGAAGCAAATGTTTAGTTGAGCTTGTCATTTAGTTCTAATTAGTTTTATCACTAGGGACCTATATCTTAAGACTCCTATAATCAATCAACTCAATTTGGATAGACAGGATCTTAAGTTCGAGAATTTAATACTTAGAATAAATCAGTTATTTATTCCCCATGAATTCGACATCCGACTCTTCAGAGTCTAATTCACTACTTGTTACAATATGTACACTTGCGTGTGGGTTTTTCAACCAAACACCTTCGTATTAGAAAAATCTTAGAATTTGTGAAGACTTAAGAGTAACAATTTCATTAATTGTCTGCTTCAACATAACATGTTGTTTCCTAGTAGAGTCAATTTTCATCTCTGGAAAGTTCTTACCACAAGAAAGCAACGTAAGTACACTTAAAACTTTATAAACTGAAAACAATCTTATTATTATCATATAATACCAATTACCAAGCAGCAAAGTACTCTACTAATAATCTATAGTAGTAAAACGCTTGAAGAATAAATTAATTTACACGGACAACTACATATAGATAGTACTATATGTTAATTAATTAATATTCACGAACCCAAGAAAGCATCAACCCTAGCATTGTCCTTTCTAGACAGAAACTTCATGCAAATGGGCGCTTTCACACCAGCCAAAGCCAACACCGAATTCGGCAACGCCCATATCCCGTCTCCGCATATCAATCCCGAAGCCACCGCAGGTCCAAACGCATCCGCCTTCGCCTTGTCAATCTTCTCCCACACAAATAGTATCAAACTACCAACACACATATCAATAGTAAAATACCCTCCGAGATAGAACGGGATCGCCATAGCCATCGGAAGTGGAATAAATCTCGCCCATTTTACCCCGACCGCATCTCTAACCCCGTTAATCACAACGGCTGCAATAAAGAACACGTAGCACAACGTCAGGCAATGATCCGGCAAAGCCGAAAACCCTTCCACCCCTAAAATCGCCATGTTTCGGTACACGAGAGCATAAGGCGCTTTGTATTGAGAACCGGAAAGGCCTATATCGGGAAAGGCCTTGTAAAATAGCCAAAACACGCACGGAGAAATAACGCAACCCATAGCGGTACCGATTATCTGGCTAACAAACATTGACCGTGGTGAGGCTAAGGTCATGTACCCGGTCTTGAAGTCTTGTGTTAAGTCGGAGGCGGTGGAGACTATATTCATCATGACACCACACGCCGCTAGCCCCGCTAGGACCCCACCGTGGGACCCACCGGCCCATGCACCGATTACAAATATGGCTAATTTTCCGTAAGTGGAAGCCAACGACCAATCGGTGAGTCCGCACCCGTACGCGTTGCAGAAGGCTAGAGCGGGTGCGAATATGTATATGACGATAATGTAGTACCATTTGAGTGGGCGGAATATGTGTGGAAGAGTTGCGGACGAGATTACTGCGATTGCGATGTAGCTTGAAACGGCAATCCATGTGGGGATTTGGTCCTTGAGGAAAAGTTGGGTTCTTTTTTTATCATCGTAGGATAAAGCGGGAGTATTACTTGATTGAGATAAATCGGGTCTTTTGTTTTTTTCTTGGAATTGATTGTACAATCCGTATAATGTGTGGGCGAGAACTTTAATGAAGTTGTATAGGCCGTCACCGAGGATCATCGCTATAGCTATGAAGACCTAAAAGAGGAGGGGAAAAAGGGAAGATAAATGAAAAACAATATATTGAAAATGAATGTATTTGTCGAATATAATATAGTGATCGACGAAGAATATACCTTGTAACCTTGCAAGCCGTGAAGGCTGTCGGATTTTAACTCAGACGAGTACCAGTCACCTTTTCGTTCTTTTATGAGTGGCCACATTATGCCCCATGAAAGTACGGATCCGATTAGTAAGGATACGTTGATAAGGTACGGGCATATCATGCCTACTCCCACGTACGTTGCTGAGAAATCAAAGTAGAACCTGAAAGAACAAAAACAAAATCCTTTATTCATGCATAATTTAATAAACCATGCAGCAACTTTGCTTGTAATAAAATTAAGAGTTTATTGCAATTACTAAACAACTATCTCAAGTTATTTAATTGGAAAAGCCCCCCTATGATTTAATTTTTGTTAGCAATTATAGTACCCCTGTTTAGGGGGTTGTGTGCTGTAAAAACTTGAATCATAGGGGGGGTTTTGCCAATAAAATAACATGAGGTAGTTTTTTAGCAATTTGATGTTACACAGGGGTACTAATTGCAATAAACCCGTAAAATTAATGATTTTGTAAAGTTATTTAAGACCGAATGACGAACCTGTTGTCGTAGGCTTTAAGACCGAACGTGGGGAAGTTGTTAAATCCACAAGATTCGGTTGCGGTGAAAAACCATTGAAAGAAAGCCCACACGAAGCTGAAGGAGAAGAATTTGCCCAAGGTTCTGACTTGTTTCCTGGAGTGAAGCATTGAGAATATATTATGTATAATTAATTGCATCAAATTAAATATGATAGGTGAAGAGTGACAACTTACTTTGCAAGCTTGGCTCCCTGAGGAGTATGGAAGCTATTGATTAGATGAGCAGTTGCCGTGCCACTCGGATATATCAGTTTGAAATCTATTATCATTATCTGAAAAACAATTTAAATAAGTATCAGTAAAAAAAAAAAATTGCAAATATTAGACGACTACGTACGCATATTGTTGTTGAGTATGAAAACGAAAAATGTACCTTACGAAGAGGGACGACAGAAAAGAGGCCTAAGAAGCTGACGACAAAGAGGAAACCGATCATCCACGAAAGCGACGGATTTTTAACGTTTTGAGAATCGTTAGCTTCGGTTGATTGTTTTGCAATTACTTCACTCATACCAAAAAGATAGCTCCCAAATCCTCCTGAAGAATTCAACTTAATTATGTCAGTGAAGGGCTAAAATGTGCTGAATTTGACATAAATTAACAAACTTTTTATTGAATTTTGGTTCCACATTTCACATTAAAGGCAGCTGAAACGATTTTTTTTTAACATGTACAGTAGAACCTTGAAAAATTAATAACCTCGTTTAAGTAATATGTTTTCACGGTCCCAACTTGAGGACGACGTGTTAAAAAATATATCGTTAAATTAGTATTTCGATAAATTAATATAATTTAATTGATCACGGCTGTATTAATTTATAGAGGTTTACCTGTATACTAACTTCAAAAGCCGTTAAAATTTGTCTGTCTGACTGTCTGTATATCAAGTATAAAGGGGATTAATTTAATTTAATTTTAAACGAGCACATGTTTTTCTTCTTTTTTTTTATGTAGAAACTTTAAAAGGATCCCTTCTTTTTATGTATTTATTTGTAATCAAAGTACTATTACATGATTTATCGAACATGAGGTCATTTTCCATAAGCTTTACTATATATAAAAAAAAATATTATCACTATGTAAAAGTTCCCACTAAGAAGATGTCATGTGTGTGTGTATGAACATCACACATGAAATATATCGACCCACCCGTGACATCAAGTAATTAATTTATTTTCTTTTACTGGCTAACGCCTAACAGAGTTAATTGGCATCAAGTAAGTGATTTTCCTTTTCTACAATAAAGTTGAAGAAAATAAAATCAAATTATCAAATCAGTGAGGAAATAATAGTAGTAAGAATTTGAGGAGCCAAACAAAGCAAGAAACGTGTATTATTGAACTTGATCTATAATTAATTTGATATACAATCAAATAAAATCCTTCTTTTAGAAAAGGAATAAAATCTTGATAATTTTTCCAAGATTGGCGCATGCAATAAATACGGAATCTTTAATTATTGCATATATATATTTACTCAAACAAGATTATAATACCATCTATAAGTCAAACATTAATATATTAAGATTGATTAAAATCTCGTGTAAGTAATACTTGACAGTTGACACAGTACAAAAACCTTTGACTTGTAGGTAATATTACATGTGGACCCACATACAGTATCATCATAACCTAAACGTGGGAACAGTAAGAAAAAAAAAATAGAATGGTCCAAATTCTTGAATTAATATATAAATATATCTTTACGTCCAAAAGATAGTCTCTACTCTTTATAGAAAAATTCCTTGTCCTTACACAAACCCTAGTAATTAGAGAAAATGGATTATATTATGATTAATCCAAATAAGGCGAGATTAATTCTATACATCAGATTTACATTTTCATAATTCATGTTCCATTCTGATTATTGATTGTTAATCTTGTTTTGCCTATAATACAAACCTATAATCAAATTGCAGATAACAATAATATAATGTAGATCATATAATTGTGTGTGAGAGAGAGAGAGGGAGAGAGAGAGAGAGAGATCTAGAGAGAGAGAGAGAGGGGTAACTGACCGCTGAAGGCGATGCCGGAGGTGGCAACAACACAGGTCTGAATAACAGTGTTCTCTTGCCTTGTAAAAGGCTGTTTCAAGAGACCAGATTTTTCGAGAAACTTAGACCAAGTCTTGACGAAGAAGAAACCCAAAAGACCGGCGGAAACATTGAGGGAAGGGATAATACCGGTAGTGAGATTCAGCTTCATAACTATGAATGTGAAAAGAATTCCCAAAACAAAGCTCACAACAAACGCCCTCAGAGTCAGCTGCTTCTGCCACGGCGGTACCTCCGTACCTTCGAACGTCTTCTCTATGGATCCGGCATCGTTGTTGTTCGCATCTTCTTGTTCTGCTGTAATGACGATATTCCTTTCGTTTTCGTCGCCGTCGGTTTTCTTGGTGATGCTTGAGGACCTATCCATGGTTTTTTGGAATTTTGACTCCCTTTTTTTATTTTTAGGGTTTTCGATGTAAATGTTTTGGTGTGGGTTTGTGTAGTTTATATGGAGAAGGGGGAATTTGTTATTGGGTTTAGTGTGTGTAGTGTGTGTGTGTGTGTGAAATGGTTAAAAGTGAGTGCACAGAGTAATTGGGGAGTTTAATTGGGAGTGTGGACTGACGTTTCACTATTTATTTTTGGGGCAAAATGATAAAGAGAGCAAGTAACTAATATGAGCGCAAGCTGGCATCATTTGCCAACATTACCTCTCAATCAAATCAAATCATTTTCTCACAATCTTTTTTTCGTCTTCTGGGTTTTAGTTTACTTGGATATTGTGTATTTATATTTTTTCCTATAAAATACATCATAAATGATATTATAGAATTATAAAATGAGGAGTGTTAAATCTCACACTAAAATTTACTAAATTCCACATATAAATTTAAAAAATAAAAATTCTCTACTCATATTCTCTCTAACTTCTCTCTAAAATGATTTTATTCAAGTCACTCAAAATTCATTAATTTTTTACGTGAATAATCGTAAAAAATGAGTTTAGTTTTATTTAATATTTATTCAATTTCATTAAGCCTTTTTAATTATTCAAATTCATATCAATTCGAATTTTTTCCTCAAATTCCAACTTTATTTTAGTTTGAACATGTGAAGATTTTTGTCAAATTCAAACTTGGAATGCTAGAGACGTTTTTAGTGTGTGATTTTGTGAAAAAATTAGGGAAAAAAGAAGAAGGGTGGGGAAGGAGAAGAAAAAATTTTAGAGAGACAAATATTTTTAGTTATGTGCATGATTTGATAAAATTAGTGTGGGATTTAGCATTTCAGTTATAATATATATATATATATATATATATATATATATATATATATATATATATATTAATATATATATATATATATATATATATATATATATAAAAACCTCTATAAATTCATAATGTTGGGACCGAGATATTGTATTAATTTAAAGTGATTTTACGTATGACCTTTAAATTTCCAAGTCCAATGTACTAGTTACAAGACACATTCGATGAATCACTTGCTTAGATTATCCTGGTGAAAATAATGAATGTTACGAGGTTCAAAGCATTGAAGAAATTGTGGATCCGATCGATGATGAAGTTGAGGATGATTCAATAGCTTTGGAACCAGTGGCTCGGAAAGAAGCATTGCAAGCGACAACAACTCTTCACAACTTTTTGTTGCAATACAAGAAGACAATGTCCCCCGACTTTTAAGTGCAATGAGGAGATTAAAAGATGAACTCAATATAGATTTGAATTCAACAAAAAACAAGTGACTATAGATTCATTTTTCGCTAGACAATCTTAGAATTTGGAATATTTTAGTAATTACTAGGAAGGTGGACGTGCGTTGCACGTTTCGCCTCATTGTTAATTTTTCTACATATTTTTGTGGTGCTTGATTTTTTTATTAAAATTATATATGCAGATATTTTGTGATGATAATTTTTCCATTTAAATTGAACAACTTCATCTAACATTGAAATCTAGAAGTACGATATCTTTTATCATTATATTTCATGACCTTGTTGATAATTTGACCTTTTTTTTCTTGTTTTTATCCATATTCTTCAGTCTTTCAAGTATTTCTATATCATCATATATAGCTTTGGATATCATGTTTTTTTGTGATACTAATGTACGTTATTTTTTACTTGATCAAAACTTATTTAATGAAATAAAAAATTCATGTTCTTTCATCATATATAACTTTCTTGTGATACTATTGTTATTCTTTGGATATCATGTTTTAATTTTTTGGATTTATCCAATCTCAATTATCTCATTCTTTTTTAGAGAAATAAAATAAAATAATGATTTCTTTATTTCATCTTGCTTTCTGGTTAATCATTATATTACCTCAATTGTGCTTTTTAATTAGTTGTCCATCATAATACGTTGTTATTTTGTGTTTGAAAAAATCATTTTAAACATATGGCGTTTTAGTGCTATTATTTTTTTTTCCTATGATAATTAATTATAGGATGCAGCTATATGCAAGACAAATTCTACTTGTGCAAGACCAAAATAAAATTTTCAATATATAAATACTATAATACCCTTATTTGTTAAAAAAATAGAAAATTTCAAATGTGGAATACCGAAAACTTAAAAACACAAAAAACCCTATCACAAAACCACAAGACCAACTCTCATCCTCCATCTTCCAAAACCCACAAAACATTTCTCCTTCCTCCTCCATAAACCCACAAAACCTAAACATTCAAAATCATCAAAACTCAACAAATCTTACAAAGAACCCACGAAAGTATGCATTTGTGTATTTTTTAGCTAGAATATCATTTTTCCAAAAAATAAATCCGCGCAGACGCGGTCGACATGTACAGGTTGAATTTTATAGGTAAAAATCGACATTGAGATGTCGATTTTGGAGTACAAAATCAACACCATAGTCTCGAAATTTAACTGTTAGCAAATTAGTCAAAATATATTAATTTTCGACATTAAGGTGTCGAATTTATGGACATATATTCGACACCTTAATGTCGAAATTTAGTTGTTTCATATTTTTTTAGCTACAAATTTTCAATTACTTTTTATATCAATATTCATTTTTTTTATAGCAAAAGGCAAATGCGAAAACGCAGTTTATTGTCCAAATTCATCCAAGGTTTCAAAAATATGTTCAAGACATCAAGAGCGGCGGTCGGTGGCGGAGCTTGGGCGGCGGGTAGGGGTTTCACATGGGGGGGGGGGGGGGGGGGGGGGGGGGCCCGGTTTTTTAAATTCCCCGTTTCCCTTGTTTTCCCTTTTTTTTTTTTTTTTTCCCCACAATTTGGAAATGGGGCCGGGGGGGGAAAAAAAAAACCCATTTTATTTTTGGGGTTTTTTTTCCTTTTCCCCCAAAAAAAAGGGAACTTTTGGAAACCTTTTTTTATTTTGAAAAAAAATTGGCAAAAACCCCCCCCCCTAATTTATTTAAAAAATGGCCTTTTTTTTTTTTTTTCCCCCCCCCCCTTTTTAAAAAGGGGTTTTCCCCCCCCCCTTTTGGAATTGGGGGGCCTTTTTTTTTTTTAAGGAAATAAAAAAAATTTCCCCTTTTCCCACCATTTTAAATTTTTTCCCCCCCCGCCCCCCCCAAAAAAGGTTTTCCCCCCCCCCCAAAAGGGTTGGGTGCCCCTTTAACCAAGGGGACCCCAAAAAAATTGGGGCCCAAAAAAAAGGGCCCCCTTTTTGCCAAATTTGGAAAAAACCCCCGGGGCCCCCCCAAAAAGGGCCCAAGGGAAAAAAGGGGCCCAA